TATTATTATTATTATTATCTCTCCACATCTTTTTTTTCTGAACGCGTTATCGTAGCAAAATAAACTTCTCCTCTAGGTAAAATCGACGTTCTGAACGCACTGGTGCGGTCCGTTTTGCCGTTCGAGATCGTTTGGACCACTTTTTCAGCAATTTGGGTCAAAACTATAATTCACGCATTTTTACCTCGCCCGCGCTATTGTGGTGCAATGAGTGGCTTTTTCAAGTGGAATCGACGTTCCAGACTCACTCGCGTGGTCCGCTTCGTCGTTCGGGGTTGTTCGGAAAACTTTTTCAGTAATCGAGTCCAAAACGATAATTCACACATTTTTACCCCGACGACGAAGCCGTAGCGAAGTGAACATCCCCCGTAAGTGAAATCGACATTTCGGACGCACTCGGGTGGTCTGTTTCGTCGTTCGGGGCCATCTGTATAACTTCGCTGGTGATTGGGTCAATTCGGGCCAACTTCGTGCATAACGCGCGATAACAAATTTTCGTCGATCACAGGTGGACGCCCTACACCTATTACATCCAAAAATTGATGCAAACATTGCCTTTCTCTTTTTATGGAGGAATTAATGGCTGATGGATGATGTGTTGCCTATTTTGATTTCTTTTTTTTTTTTTTTTTTTTTTTTTTTTTTTTTTTTGGTATAGAGTTGTGTGTGGGAAGTGGCTGGTGGATTATATGTTAACCCCACGTGAATAAAAGCGGAACTGGTCTCTTTTTTGAGTGAGGGCAAATTGTCTCACAAGACCCAACATGGGAGGAACTAAGACGATGAAGAGCAAATTGATATTGCAGGAAGGGCAAAAGGTCAAACTGCTCTCCTACATAAGTAAAAAATCTGAATTTAACAATTGTCACCCTAAACCTGCCTGGGTCCACCTCTGCACGTAATTTCTATAATGAGCTCTTAGCTCCTTATTCAAATTTCACCTTAGCTAATTTGTTAAATAATATTGTAAAGATGGATTTCATTTCATAGCACACAATTCTTATATATTTACATATCTAACACCTAGATTTTTATATTTACATTTATAACTCTAGTGTGATAAGTCTATAAGAGATGGTATTTAACTTTTTGAAAGTATGTGAGTAATATATTTGATATGATATTAAGGATTTGAGAGTTATACATGTAAATATTAAAAATTCGGTGTTAAATATGTAAATACATAAGAGTTGTATGATATGTGTAAATGCCCTTATTTTTAATTATGATTTATTACACCAAAATATGGCTTAGTGGTCGTTGGGGTGTGCTAAATAGTGATGCATTTGTTAACTTCATTTTTTTTATTTGGTTAGCATGACAAGCTTTTCTAACGCAGAACTTGGATGTGGTGACCTTTTCAATTGTTCAAATTATTTGTAGGACTTAAAAACCCGCTACGATTAAGTTTGTTTCTATTGTCTCAATATTAAGGGTGTAAACTAGTCGAGCTTGAGTGAGCTAAGACAGCATTGGTGTTCGGCTTGTTTGTTGTAGCTCGTGTTGGAAATTCTCGTGTTTGAATTAAGCTCTTAAGAGTTTTTTGTGTTCGGCTCGATTTACCGGGCATTAACAAAATAAATTAAAATTTATAGGGTTCATGTTTCAAATCTGCAGTCTTTTTTTGCAATAGAAGGCACCTCATCGCTCAAACACAAGCTATAATTTTTTAATCTTAATATTATATATATATATATATATATAT